CATATATATATATACATATATACATATATATATATATAGTTTGCATTTGATATAAAAATTTGAGTGAAGCTACGAAAATAAATTTTTTGGATTGGGCTGAGGGCTCAGCGGAGTTTGCACTTCAAGACAAACTGACGTTTATATATATATATATGTATATATATATGTATATATATATATATATGTATATATATATATATATGTATATATATATATATATGCATATATATACATATATATATATACATATATACATATATATATATATAGTTTGCATTTGATATAAAAATTTGAGTGAAGCTACGAAAATAAATTTTTTGGATTGGGCTGAGGGCTCAGCGGAGTTTGCACTTCAAGACAAACTGACGTTTATATATATATATATGTATATATATATGTATATATATATATATATGTATATATATATATATATGTATATATATATATATATGCATATATGTATATATATATATGTATATATATACATAGATTAGCTATATATATATATATATATATTTATTATTTGTGCATGCATACAAATATATGTAGATATATATATATATGTATATATATACATATATATATATATTTGCATATATATAATGTAGAAATAAAATATGTACAGTATACACTGGGTGTATATTTAAGAAGAGATTTACTTCGAGGTTTCTAGCCGGCTGCGCTGCAGCAAAAGAATGCAGGGGGCCCCCAAGTTGCTGCACGGGGGCCCCTAGGGGCCCTACATGAGTGTATACAGTGTATGCGCACAAGCAGCAGCGCTACATCATTTGCTTCAGCATCAAACGGCGGTGCTGTTGCTGCTGCTGCTGCTGCTACTGCTGCTGCTGCTGCTGCTGCTGCTACTGCTGCTGCTGCTGCTGCTGCTGCTATTGCTGCTGCTGCTCCTGCTGCTGCGGTTTGCTGTTTCTGTTGCAGTTGGCGTCCCTGAGAGCTTTGAAGGCCTGCCGGTTGCGACGCACGTCCTCATACCAGCAAACTGCAGCAGCAGCAGCAGCAGCAGCAGCAGCAGCAGCGGCAACAGGTTTCTTCGTGCTCTCCTGCGTCTCTTTGGCGGCGGAGAAAGGGAGCAGCAGCCTTTGCTGCAGTTTATTTTGTTATATGTGTGCATGTGGAGTGATGCGCTGCTGTCTTTTTCTCTCTGTGGGGTGCTGCTGCTGCTGCTGCTGCAGCTGCGGGCCGCCGTGTGGCTGCTTGCAGGTAGCCCCTTCTTTGCTGCCACCTGCTGCTGCTTAACAGGAGCAGCAGCAGCAGCAAACAGAGTGCTGATTAGACTAGGCAGACACTCAGAAGACTATTGGGAGGCCCACAAGGAACTTAACCAGAGGCTTCTGGGGGCCCCCGTGGGGCCCCCTGCTGCTGCTCCCCTAACAACCTTCACCCTGCCGGAAGACAGCAGCAGCAGCAGCAGCAGCAACAGAGGAGGCCCCACACCCTATATGCAGGCGGGTGCGGAGGCCTTTTCAGGGCTTGCAGCAGCAAATTGCTACGGCTCTCATGTTGATACAAACTCTAGAGGTGTATTGCATACAACTGAGCAGCAGCAGCAGCAGCAGCAGCACGACGTCGTCAGCCCCAACTCCGTAGCCTTTCGAGAAAACTTCCGCGCTGCAGCAGTAGCAGCAGCAGCAGCAGCAGCGGCTGCAGTGGCGAGGCAGCAGCAGGAGCAGCAGCAGCAGGAGCAGCAAGCGGTACAAGAGAATGAAGAGCAGCACCCGCGGTCTCTCTCTGTCTCCGAACCAACAGCCCCCACTCAGGCCTGCGACGAGCAGCAGCAGCAGCAGGAACAGCAGCTGCAGCAGCAGCTGCTGCTGCAGGATAACAGCTTAGACACAGAAGAAGAATTCGACTCAGCAGAGACACCCTCAGCCCACACAGAGACACCTGTCTCCGTCCTCCGCAGTGAGGCCTAAGAAAGACCTGCTGCAGCAGCAGCTGCAGCAGCAGCAGCAGCAGCAACAGGACCAGCTGCAGCAGCAGCAACGGTAGTGCAGCCTTGAGACCTAGGCTTGTTCCAGCACACCGGGACGCTCAGCTAGCTAGCTAGCCAGCTAGCTAGCTAGCCAGCCAGCTAGCCATCTAGCTAGCCAGTTAGCTAGACAAAGGGCCGCTGCCCTCGACACTAAAATAGGATGCATCAGCTTCCTTAGGGGCCCCTGGGGGCCCCCCTAGACTTGCCCAAGACCCCTCAGGGGATATTGCAGTGTTTTAAGGGGCCCCCGGAGGCCACCAAAGGGACCCCTGTGTTCTCTCAAGGGGCTCCCTGGGGGCCCCTGTGGGGTCCTTTCTGGGGCCCCACAGAAGCCCCCTTAGTGTACTGAAGGGGCCCCCTTAAGGCCCCCACAGGGGACCCCTTAGTTTACTGAAGGGGCCCCTTAAGGCCCCCTGAAGGACCCCTGAAGGACCCTTAAGGGGCCCCCTAGGGGCCCTTGAGGGTTCCTCGTCGTGCTGCTGTTTTAGGGCCCTCCTGCCTCCCAAGACCTGCAGCACAGGCTGCTAGGCGGCCCCCACGGGGCCCCCACAACAAGGGCCTTTGGGGCCCATGGGGGCCCTTGGGGCTTGATAGAGTGCATGCAAGAGGATATATAGTGCATGCAAGAGGATATATACGGCTGGAGGCCCCTGGAGAAGGAAAGAGAAGCAGCTAGAAAAGGAGACAGAGACAGAGGTAAGGAGACAGCGAAGAATAAACAAAGAGATAGGAGCACAGAGACAAAAATAAAGACAAGACAGAGACAAGGAGACATAAAGATAAAGAGACAAAGACATAAGGAGACAGATATAAAGACATAAGGAGACAGATATAAGGAGACAAGGAGAAGGCTAGGGGCCCCTATATTCTCCCCTGTCAGCCTCTTCTTTAAATCTAAATCTATACAACGAAGATAACTCAAATAACATACGAGGGCCCCCAGTACTTCCTCTACGTGGGGGCCCCACTAGCGGCTGTATCTGGGGGCCCCACTAGCGGCTGTATCTGGGGGCCCCTGGGGGCCCCTATCGGGTCTCTTATATAGGGGCCTCATTAGGCCCTCTTAGGCCCTATATCTGGGGGCCCCCTTCACGGCTTCTACCCAGGGGGCACCCATTAAATGCTGTATCTGGGGGCCCCCAATAGAGCCTCTACCTGGGGGCCCCCATTGGACCCGTCATCGGGGGGCCCCCTTTAGGATTTCTATACGGGGGCCCCTTGTTAGGGCCTCTGTGTGGGGCCCCTATTAGGGTCCCTTTCTGGGGGCCCCCCATTAGGGCGCCTAACTGGGGGCCCCTACTAGGACCTCTATGTGGGGGCCCCTTGTTAGGGCCTCTATCAGGGGGCCCCTAATAGGGCCTTCATCTGGGGGCCACTTCCTGGGGCCACCAATTAGGGGCTACAGTGTGTGTTTGCATAAAGCCCTACTTTGAAGGGCGAGGAAGGGCCCTGCGTCAGTAGAAAAGGAGATTTCATCAGGGGGACCAAACCCTAAACCCTAAACCCTAAACCCTAAACCCCAATATATAAACACTAAAGTAGTTCCTTCCCCGTGCTTCTCCTTAGCGGATAAGGACAGTTATACTTCAGCGTGCTCATTAAATGGATAACCCTAAAATGGATTAGGGTTTAGGGTTTGGGGTTTAGGGTTTACTATCCGTGCACACACAAGGGCCCCCAAGGGCCCCCCTAGGGGCCCCCCTAGGGGCCCCCAAGGGCCCCCTGTGTGTGTGTACTGTTTGTTATCTTTATTGATATTTTAGCAGATATTTAATTCTCTTAAGTAATAAGGAGGAATTATAAAAGAATTATCTTTACTTATAAGCAGCATTAGAGACAGCTAGGGCCCGCAGGGGGCCCCCGGGGGCCCCCACGAGGCCTTTAATATACTTGTTTTGCAGTTGTTAGTGAGAAGAGGAGAAGGCAGAGGTCTTAATGCAAAAGAAGAAAAGGAAAAGGGTTTAACTTTAAGGCTTTATTCTAATAGGGCCACCATGGCTGTGAAGGGGGCCCCCTGGGGGCCCCCCAATCGGGGCCCCCTGAGAGTCTTTAGCTGCAGGAGACAACGATTGAGGCCCTGCATTCTCCTCTTGCTGCTGATGTTGCTGCTGCTGCTGCTGCAGGCTGCTGCTGCAGGTGCCTTTCTGCTGCCGCGCTTGCATGCAAGTGCTGCACACAAACAAAGCTGTCTCCTGGGGGCCCCCTCTGAAGCAGCAGCAGCAGCAGCAGCAGCAGCAGCAAACTTGCACAGGAGCCCTTTCCATCTAAGGGGACTTCGAACTCGGGGGCAAGTGACAGGGGCAGCAACATGCCCTGGCTCTGCAGAAGGCCAGCAGCAGCATCAGCAGCAGCAACAGCAGCAGCAGCAGCTGCCGCAGTATGAAACAGCAGCAGCAGCAGCAGGCAGTTTCCACCGACCCGTGATGCTGTCTTTGTCAACAGATCTTCTTCTTGGGGGCCCCCCATGCGCAGGCGCAACCTCCTCAGTGTCTCTAGGGAGAGCTTCAGGGGGGCCCCCCAAGGGGGCCCCCGGGGGGCCCCCAGAGGGGCCCCCTAAGCCGCGAGTTTTCGTAGACTGTACTGCTGGGGGCGGAGGACATTCTGCAGCAATAGCCAAAAGACTCAACCCCCAAGTGGGTCTCCCTTAGGGTACCCTGGGGCCCTAGGGGCCCCCTAAGTGCATGCAGAAACTCTTCCCTGTATAAGCTGAAGCAGCAGCAGCAGTAGCAGCAGCAGCAGCAACAGCAGCAGCAGCATTTCCCTGCCTCTTTTGTTGCTGCTGTTCTGCTGCAGGATATTCTCATTTGCTGCGACATCGATGGAGAGGCATTAGCAGCAACGCACACTCGTCTATGTCCCTCCTGCACACACCCACAACATAGGGGGCCCCAATTAGGGGCCCCCCAGTTAGGGGCCCCCCAGTTAGGGGCCCCCCAAGGAGGGGCCCCCCAAGGAGGGGGTCCCCAAGGAGGGGGCCCCCAAGGAGGGGGCCCCCCAGGAGGGGCCCCCCAAGGAGGGGGTCCCCAAGGAGGGGGCCCCCAAGGAGGGGCCCCCCAAGGAGGGGGCCCCCAAGCAGGGGGCCCCCAATTGGGGGGCCCCCACGGGGGCCCCAAGATATATTTTGTGCAGGGGAATTTTCGGTTTTTGCGAGAAATTGTCTCCGTGGCCTTGGGGACAGAAGGAGATGGAAGGATTGACGGGTACTCCTGCTGCTGCTGCTGCTGCTGCTGCTGCTGTTGCTGGTGAAGTAGCTGCTGCTGCTGGTGCTGCTGGTGGAGTAGTTGCTGCTGCAGGAATTGCTGCTGTTGGCCGTGCTGGTGATGCTGGAGCCGCTGATGCTGCTGCTGCTGTGTCTGCGCGCCTAACGCCATCTCCGCCACACTGCTGCTGCTGCTGCTGCTGCTGCTGCTGCTGCTGCTGCTGCTGCACAGGATAATAGCGGATTTGGGGGTCTCTTCTTGGCAGCTCGACTCGGCGCATCGGGGCTTCAGCCACAGATTCAACTGTCCCCTGCTGCTGCAAATGTATCACCCCCTACCATCAAGCAGCAGCAACAGCAGCAGCAGCAGCAGCAGTAGCAGCAGAGATTGCAGCAGCTGCGAGCACGTGTATGTACACCGCAAGTCTGTGGAAGTGGCACTCGCTCAGCCGTCCCCAACAGAGGTATGAAGGAGCTGTTCTTGCTGTTGCTGTTGTTGTTGCTGCTGCTGCTGCTGCTGAGTCGCGCACCAAACTGCTGCTGCTGCGGCCGTGGCTGTAGCTGCTTGTGCTGCTTTTTTTGCTGCGGTCGCTGCTGCAGCTTCTGCAGCACGGCAGCGGCCCGCTGCTGCAGCGGGTGCTGTGGCAACTGGGGGAGGAGCGGCTGGCGAGGCGCATCACAGCTGCGCTTCTCTCCCGTCAGCAGCAGCAGCAGCAGCAGCAGCAGCAGCAGCACATGGAGACTGCGGAGTTAGTGGAGTTGGTTCGGAGGTGTCTCCCCACTTCTTCGCTTAAAGAAGAGAAAAAAACCCTCTCAAGAGTCTTCCAGGTAAAAGGCCCTAATAAACTGTCTCCTTTTGTCTCTTTATTTGTCTCCTTTTGTCCCTTTATCTGTCTCCTTTTGTCTCTTTATCTGTCTCCTTTTGTCTCTTATCGTTTTGATTGTCTCCACCCTGTCTCCTTTTGTCTCCTTTTGTCTCTTCATTTGTCTCCTTTTGTCTCCTTTTGTCTCCTTTTGTGTCTCTTTGTGTCTCTATTGGGTCTCCTTTTGCCTGCTTTTATCTTTTCGTGTCTCCTTCAGCTTTTGTTTGTCTCCTTTTGTTTTTTTATCTCTGTCTCTCTTCGTCTCCTTTTGTCTCTGTTGATCGCTTCTTGTCTTCTTCTGTCTCCTTTTTAACTCTGTTTGTCTCCTTTGTCTCTTTTTGTCTTTAGCTGTCTCAGGCTGTTGTCTCCCTTTTTTCCTGCTGCTCTGCTGCTGTCTGCTGCTGCTGCTGCTGCTGCTGCTGCTGTTGCTGCTGCTGCTGTCTTTGTGTCTCCTTTCTGGGTTCTGTTTTTAGCAGCTACTTGGCTCTTCTGTCTCTTTGCTGCAGGCTTTAAGAATGTACATCAATGAGGAGACACTTGCGCTGCAGCAGCTGCTGCTGCAGGCCTTGCTGCTGCTGCGCCCTGGGGGCCGTCTGCTGCTGCTGTCTTTTCACTCCATTGAAGACAAAATAGCTGCAGCAGCTTTCCACAGAAACAAACTGTCCCCAGCAGCAGCAACAGCAGCAGCAGCAGCAGCAGCAGGAGCAGCAGCTCTAGTAGAGGACCCTTTGAGAAGGGGCTGGCGGGGAAGAGATTCTGCTGCTGCTGCTGCTGCGGCTGCTGCTGCTGCTGCTGACGCAAAGGCTGGCTGGAGGCCCCTTTTCAAGGTATTAGTGAAGGTTGCTGCTCCCGCTGCTGGTGCTGCCCGCGCAGCTGTTTCCCTTGCTGCTGCTGCTGCTGCTGCTGCTGCTGCTGCAGCCCCCTATTATTGTATGAGCTTGCTTGGCTGGGTGTCTTTAGGTGTCTCTGCACAAATTATGTCACTGTCTGTCTGTCGCTTGAATATTCGGCTGTCTCCTTTCTGCTGTCTTTGCTTCGGTGCTGTCTCTGTCTGTTTCCTGTCTCTCTCTGTCTCTCTACTGTCTCCTTACTCTGCTGTCTCTGTCTGTCTCTGCTCTCACCTCCTGCTGCCTCTGTCTCTGTCTTTCTCTCTCTGCTGTCTCTGTCTGCCTCTCTCTCTCTCTGCTGTCTCTGTCTCTCTGTCTCTCTCTGCTGTCTCCTTTCTCTCTTGTGTCTCTGTCTCTGTCTCTGCCGTCTCCTTTTTCTTCTATTTTTGTCTCTGCGTCTCCTTGTCTCTTTGTTGTCTCCTTTTGTTGTCTTCAGGGGTATTTACAGCCCACTGCAGAAGAAGTGGCCAGCAATGCGCGGTGAACTAAACCCTAAACCCTAAACCCTAAACCCTAAACCCCGGCACTGCATGGGGATAGCGACGCACCGCGGCTGCTCCTCTTGTTGCTGCTGCATCTGCTGCTGCTGCTGCTGCTGTTGCACCTGTTCCTGCTGCTGCTGCTCTGGCTTTAACTGCTGCAGGGCGAGAAGCGCACGGCTTCGCGTTGCAGAGAAAGTCTTATTAATGTAGCAGCAGCAGCAGCAGCAGCTGCTGCTGCTGCTGCAGTATTGAAGAACAGCAGCAGAACAGCAGCAAATAATCCTGCCTCAGCAGGGAAAAGACCAAAGGAGGCAAAATATCATACGGCAGAAAAAAAGCCTCAAAGGGACGTGCTGCTGCTGCTGCTGCTCCTGCTGCTGCTCCTGCTGCTGGGGTCCGCACTCGCAGCAGCAGAAGCAGCAGCAGCAGAAGCAGCAGCAGCAGCAAACAACACCCGCCTCAGTCGCAGCGCAGGGTCAAGGGTGAGTATAATTAAAGCCGTAAAAATAATAACACAATAAATATAATAAACACAAAAATATACTCAACAAACAGAGCAATAAATATAATAATAAATATAATAAAAATAATAAATATAATAAATATAATAAGTATAATAAATATAATACGCGCTACGGAGATACATAAAATCTGAAGTTGTACAGACAGCCAAACGTGGGCGATAGCATCACCTGCTGCTGCAGCAGCAGCTGCTGCAGTTGTTGCAGCAGCACCTGCTGCAGCTGCTGCACTGCAGCAGCAGCTGCTGCTGCAGTTGTTGCAGCAGCACCTGCTGCTGCATTTGCTGCCGATAGCTGCTGCACTGGGTCAGTTATCGTTTGCATGCGGCCTCTGGAGTGTCTCTGTATCTGCTGCAGTGTGAGTGCGTGTTTGGTGTTGCTGCAGCTGCTGCTGCA